ATAGTATTAACGGGTATTATAGCTCTTTTTCTCTCGGATAAATATATATCTTATTTCTAGTTCCGGATCCCGCTCAAGTTTAATAAGTTATTTATAAGTATAATTACTAAGACAAGCTAGTTCGGGGCTCTCTTATATTTTACGGACCTAATTATCTGAAATAAGATACCTATATAATATAAGTACTACTTTAAGATAATATACCGGCTAATAATTAATTTATAATTAGTTATAAATAATATTCTTTTTAGAGAAATACCCGTAATTCTCGGAGAGAACTTTACCCAGATCTTACTAGTAGTCTTATATGGTTTATAGGCTAATATAATACGGGCCTACTTATAGTAGATATGGATCTAGCTATAGCTCTATTAGTTATTATTACGGATTAATATATAGGTCTATAATAACCTATCCGAGCAGGATTTTATAGACTAGATTAGTAGTCTACTATATAACCTGTTTTTAAATAAATAGATTATACTCCTGCCTTTTATTCCGTATACCTAGTTAGTTATAGACCTAATTAATTATATCTACTTATAAGAGTAACTTTTGCAGGCCTTATATAATTACTAGGCCTTTAGTAAATAAGTAATCCTATTAACCCTAAATAATACGGTTTATAAGCTTAACTAAATAATTCTGGATATACTTCCTAGCCAGAAACAGATATATTTTGTAATAGATTTAGCTAATATAAATAAAACAGATCCTGAAATTATAGAATTACTTCTAGAGATCTTATAAAATATTTATTTACTAGATCTATCTTTCTCTAAGCTATAATTCAAGATTAGTATACCTATAATACTCTTACGGAATTTCTATCTATAAGAAAGGCTTTATAACAGGTTACGAATATTAATATATAGCTTTAGGAGATTCTTAATTCGGGTATAGTTACTAGATAGTGACTTTAATAGCTAGTTACGGATAATTTCACGGATTAAGCTCTAGTCTATAGATTAGTAACTATCTTTTATATTTTCCTATAAGTAGTTTCTATTTTCTTTATCCTTTATAATAATTATTAATAAGTTATAAGGCTAGTTATTTAAGATAATAGGAATGGATTTATAATTACTAGTCTTTTCTTATAGCTAGTTCTATATAGCGGCCTTATAAGTAACCTTATAGGCAGGGCTTTATATTCTTTTATTCCCTAATATAAATCATATAAATAATATAATATATCCAGAAATATTATAAGGTCTTATTTAGCTTTTAACTTACTTATAACTAATTTTATATACTTATAAGCTATTTTTCTTCTTATACTATCCGTAAAGAGTTTATAAAGAGTCTATAAAGAGTTCATACTAGCCTTTATTATATTCTAATCCTATTTGAGACAAGTTTAAGGCAAAATTATTAATTAGCGGCCCTATATAAGCTCCGGGACTAATTAATAATTTTAGTAAAGCGGCCCTAAACTCATCTATATAATACTAAGTTACAATCTATAGAAAACATTCCCTATTATATAGAGGCCTATACGAGAATACTAAATATACTTTACCTTCTTACCCTCTCCCTTCTTATATTTTATACTTTACTTTAGTTTATAATATCTTAATTAAATTAACCTGAATTAAATTAATTATACTATCCTAAATATTACTGCCCTCGGTTAATCTTCTAGTTCCCCCTAAAGAATAGCTAGCGGACCGTAATATATGCTTTGTATCTTGAGTGGCAGGCCCTATACTATATAGTAATTTAGGAATAAGAGAGGGAGGAAAATAAGAAGGGAGAAAGAGAGAGAAAGAGAAAGCAGGCTATAGATAAGTTAATAGACCTGTTTACGGATAGATACGGGTAAACTAACTCTTCTAGGGCCGTAAACCCGTTACTCGAGCTATTTATAGGTCTATAATCTCGGCCGCTTTCTTACCTATAAGCCCTATTATCGCCGGAATTTAAAGGCAAAGCATTATTGAGCCCTAACTAGAACTCGCACTTAGTATCCGAATTCTTCTCCGACCCATATCCAGTTCGCAAATTATATCTAGCTCCGGTAGCAGGCTACCGGGAAGAAGGAGAGAGGATAGGCAGGGTACCGGGCAATTACGGTTAATAATTATATGCGGGAGCCGACCCAAGAGGAGGAGCAGGAGCTTTAGGACCGGCAGTAGCGGTGTGAGGATAGGAAGGCAAAGAGGAGGGTTTGGGAGAGAGAGAGGAAGGGGTTATTACGAGAAAATTATTTAAAAAGGGGGCAGCTTGAAGGAGAGTTTGAGGCGTAATGGAAGGAGAGGTTAAAGGAGAGGCAGAGAGCGGATGAGTTTTTAAAAGCAAGGGATAAGGCAAGGAGGAAAATGAAGAGGGATAGAGAGAAGCGGGCAGAGTGGGTAGAGAGGGAAGAGAGGGAGGAGAGGGAGGAGAGAGAGGGGTAGGCTAAAGGAGAAGCTTGCGGACCAGTAGAGAGGCAGGCTTGCGAGCTAAGAGAGAGGCAAGCGGAGTTATATATAGACGAATACGAATATTGCAATGATTATTAGCTTTAATTCCAGGGCAAGTGAGGCTTGGGAAGGCCCGCGAGAGGGAAGGGAGGGCTCTATAGGTAGGAGTAAGGCTTGGGGAGGCCTGCGAGAGGGAAAGGGGAGCTTTGCAAGTAGGAGTGAGGCTTGGGAGGGCTTGCAAGTAGAAAGGGAGAGCTTTGCGGGTAAGAGTGAGGCTTGGAAGGAAGCTACGGGTAAGAGTACGGGTAGTAAGGGGCTTTAGAGGGCCCGTAAGTAGAAAGGGAGAGCTTTGCGGATGAGAATAAGGCTTGGGAGGGTCTGCAAGGGGAAAGGGGGAGCTTTGCAAGTGGGAGTACAGGTAATAAGGGGCTTGCAGGGGCAAGTAAGGCTTGGGAGGGCCCGCGAGTACGATATAGAAAGCAAAAAGCTAAATATTTAAATAAAAGCTCTTAAAAACTAATTTCTCTTACGCTTATATGTTACATTAGTGCGAGCTTGCGAGTGTAATGTGGCTATACTTAAGGAGAAGGTTTTATAAGTAAAAGTAAGGCTTAAAAGGGCTTATAAAAGGAAAGACAGAGCTTTGCGGGTATAATTAGGGGATATTACAGTTCGTAAAGAGAAAGAGAGAGCTTTACGAGTAAGTATAAGGCTTAGAAGGCCTATAGGTAATAAAAGAGCTTTATTATAAGTAAGTCACGTGACCCTCTTAATCTCGAATCGAGATCAGGGCAAAATTAAAGACTGGCCCCGAAGCTTGTATAGGGCCGCCAGGCTTTAATTTTAGTAAAGCGGCCCAGATCTCGTAATTATAAATTATAATAATTATAATATATTATAATATATTAAAATCAGACTTTTATAATATTTATTATAAAATAAATATATTTGACTATAATTAAATAACTAAAATATAATTTTATAATTATATATATATAATAATAAATAAGTTTATTAAAAAAATATAAAAAAAAGCTATTCTAGTTATATTAACTAAATAAAAGGCTCTTATTAAAGCAAGACATTTTATAGAAATAATTATATAATAAGAAGTACTTTTTTAATTAAAGAAATAATAATATTAAAAGTAATATATATAAAAACAAATATATATATATATAATTGAATTATTATAATACCTTAAATAAAAAATCCGAATTATATAATTTCAAGACTTTAATTAATTATATTTATATAGTTTATATTATTATAATTGAATAAGTAGTTATTAAATAATTAATTATTAAAGTTTGAAGCAAAATGCGAATTCGCATGTTTGAGTGCGAGGCTGCGAGTAACGCGTGGTTGCTCTATTAATTAAAGGGGGCGCGTCACATAATAATAGACCTGTCTATAGTTATATAACCTGGCGAAGGCTTCTATAGTAGCCAAGAATATAAATCAGGTCTCGACCCGGTATCCCTTCGTCCGGTGAGACATTGTCACATTGGCGGCCGCACATGAATTTGGGATATTCATGTGCGGCCGCCAATGTGACAATGTCTCACCGGACGAAGGGATAATAGAGGTATTATTAAAAAGAAGGTCTAAAATTCGAAATTAAAACTGCCTTAATTAGCTTGCCTAACAAATTTGCTTGCTTTTAAAAAAAAAAAGAATTTGACGTCAATAAAGATAATATCTCTTAAATTAGTGCGTAAGGCAGAATAAGTCATGTGATCTCGTCAAAGATGCAGACATTCCGTAGCGCGCTGAAAATTGAGAGGAGTATGAAAAGGAAATGAGATTGGTGGATGTAGTAGCAGTATTGAACGTGACGTGCTTGACAACCAACGTCGTGCCTCCTGTGATCGTTAGGCGGGACCCCTATCTGGGGAAAGGAGGCGGCAAGCTGGCTAGGAAGGCCGCTAAAATGACCCCTAAAAATCGAATCTCCACTTCCCGCGGTCAAAACCCCTATTGAGCTCTTGAAGGAAAACACCCTGCTCCGCGCCTAGCTTATCCCGGGGCAGAGGCTTGGCCGGGCAGCTTTGGGGCCCCGGACGATGGGAAAGGCTACTGGTCAAAATCCTAGACACGAGGCTGGCATGCGGTTTGCGCTGTGAATTAGTTGTTCTATATACTCCCCTCCCTAATTACTTGCATTTATGGGTCCTCTTGCCCGGGGTGTTTGAATGGTAGATTGTCCGTGCTCTGTGGACCCACTGTTACAAGTAATTGGGGGGAGTAGCACTTGGCAGCAGAAAAGAGTAAGGAATAAGGAAAGAAATACTGTGAAGAAAAAGGGGTGGGCGATCAGCCTGAGACAAGCCAAGCGGGTGAGATTGGGTTAGCTCCATTCAACGTGCTCTCGCTATTGGGCGCAATTGAATTGGAGCTGGAGGAGTTAACGCCACCACCAACAGTGCAGCGTCTTCAGAATCAATCACTGCCACCAGTAAGCTGGCCGATCAGTTCGGATTTGGCCCCAGCCTTCTCTTATTTATAAGCTGATTTTAGCGCTAAGGAGGTTGTCTGATGCTCTAACTTTAGATTCGACGCGCTACATTGCTATCTCCATCGTCATCTCAACCTGCACAAGTAAATTTCTCATTGTCATTCTACACCACAGAAAGCAATGTCTCTACTAGATTTTTCTAGGATGCCGCGTCGAGCAATCATTTTGACGTACGCAATCATTTTAGCCTTGGTCTTCGTCGGAGTATACAATTTTGGACAACTCCCAGATATTCTCAGGGGAAGTTCCTTTGAAGCCCCACCCTATGGACAGAAGGATACTCCTCCGCCCCCAGGACACGAACCTCCACCAGCACACGAATCTCCAAAGCCTGCCGAAGGACAGTATTGCAAGTGGGTCTTTGACAAGTATGAATCCAGCGCCTACGAAGACGAATGGTTCCAAGAGGTGCCAAACGTTCAGCCAACTACTCCGGATGGAACCAACATCTGCAAAGCTCAACAGGCAGAAAAACACGTCGCAGCATCTAGAGCCATCGTCGGACGAGCCATCAATCTAACTGCCATTGACCCCAAGATTCAATGGAAAACATATGATACCATGCCAACGACAACTCTCGACCCAGCCGACCAGTACATGAGTCGAATGTACTACCGACGTGTCTGCTACAACGAGGAGAAGCGAGAATTTTATCCGGCATCCGGACATGGCATCCAGCTCATTGAGCCATTATTCGGGATGCTCCGCGACCCCTTTGACCTCTGGTGTGGATCGGACAAGCTGACGATTGAGAACTACCCCAACACCAATCCAGGTCAATCGAAACATCACATCCTGCCCCAAGGCTTCGCTCCCTACACATATACGACCAAAGCCGCCGGCGTCGAGTCCACAGAATGGCGAACCCATGGAATCCCACCATGGCACTCCTTCCTGCGCCCCGTCTATAACGAGCAAGTCGGCACAACATTTTCAACACCACAAAATATCCATGTCGATCTGGGCTCCTCGTACTTTGGTGGTTGGACGAAAGCCTCCTCAGCAGCGTCAGGCCAATGGTTCTACGACAACTACCACGCGCGCGGCCAGAGATTCAATCGATTCGTCGCCGTTGAAGTCGAGACCTTGGATGATACCGAGGCGTACGAACAAGTCCCCGCCGATCTGATCGGGATCTACACATTGATGAATATTGGCTTGACGATGGGCGAGGATAAACTGAATGCGGTTGAAATGATCAAGCGAATTGTGAAACCGGAAGATTTTTTCGTGCTTAAGTTGGACATCGATTCCGCGCCCATTGAAGAACCCATCCTCCAGAATTTATTGGCGGATGATCCCGAGAACGGCGGCGCGAGCGCGTTGATTGATGAGTTGATGTATGAGCATCATGTGAATTTCTGGCCGATGAATGGCCCGTGGCGTATTGCGTCGACTTCGAAGAAGGATGGGGATTTGTTGACGAGTTATAATTTGTTTCGGGATCTGAGGAGGAAGGGGATTAGGGCACATTCGTGGCCTTGAGTGTGGCTTTGGCTTTGGTTCTGGTGGGTGGTAGGCGGGGGCAGTCTGGGATAGTCCCATGAAGGGAACTTTACCCCCTACTCATGATTAAATGTGGATACATAGGAGAGACTCGCTCTTGGTTTGATGTCGTGTATCTCTCAAAAGCATAAAGGGTCTGCGGCGTTTTTGGCATTTGATTTTCCATATGGAAGGTATGTAGATTGACATCTGGAAGTCGGTTCGAGAGTCTCATGCGAAAGCTTTCTAGATATTCCTCCGCCCCAAGCGCTTCAGTGGTTAATTATCTTGTATGATATTGAGTTACATATTCATCTTACCTGATCCGTGTATATTTTGATATGAACCACTTTGAGCTAGACTAACGTTCAGTGGCTTCTCTCGATTGAGCGGAATCTTCTTGAATATTTACCTTCTTGAGCATTTTCGGCCCATATTTGCAAGGCTAACTGCGAAGAACACCGTTATTTCCACTATAACATAAGAGTGGTTCTTCCACATATGGAGCAACTTCCGCTACACGAGTTCAGCTTTTTCCAATTAAAAATCTCGACGCCAGAAACACTAGCTTTCTAATTGCCTTATAGACAGCGTGTCAAATGAGTAGAGTAGAGTAGTGGGTTCTACTTATACTCTACTTAACCAATTGGAGCGCTATGTATACTCTACTCAATACTCAATGAGTAGCTATGAGGCGCTCAAATAGCAGGGTACTGCATAAGTAGTCAAGGTCGAGTGACGCTTGCAAGTAGTAATTCCAAGAAGTAACTCTAGTAAGAGACTAATCAAAGCCTCCTTCTAAAGCTATATGTGCCTTTATATACCCCCTAGAGCCTAGCTGGATATATGCAAGCACTAGCCTTAATTAGGAAATATAATTCTATATAAGTATTATTCTTAATTAGGAAATCTAATCTAATAATATCTAATATCTATTTTATTATTATATTTATTTATTATAATAGCTATTTAAATAACTTAAGTAATTAGTTATATATAGTATATTAAAGAATTATTTAAGTTATTTATAAATAATATAAATAATTATATAAAAGTTATATAAAAATTAATTAATTATAGTAAATTAATATATATTTAAATTTAAAAAAAGAACTAAAGTATTTATTAAATAGCCTTATATAAGCTAAGCTAATATTTATATAAGGCTATTTAAATATAGATTTTTTATAATAAATAAACTAATTATTACTAAAATTTAATTTATTTATTAAATATTATTATTATCTAATTAGATAATAAAATAGTATTTAGTAATACTAGATATAGGCCTTTTAAAGCCGTACCTAATTAGGCTATCTTAATTATATATATAAATAAAATAAAAATAATAGCTATTATTCTATTTTATTTTATTTATTTTATTTAATATATTAGTTATATAATTATATATATAATTAGAATAATTATAAACTATATTATAGTATTAATTTAAAATTAAAGCTAGCTTAATTAAATAATATTATATTTATTTAAAAAATTTAAATTATTTTTTTATTTTAAATAAAACTAAAATATTTATTAGTATAATTATTTCTTTAGAAGTTATATATATAATTACGGGATTCGGAATATAAGATATAAATAATAAGATATAAAATACAAGATGTAATTATATAACCTTATATTATATAAATAACTTAATTAGTAAACTAGATTCTATTAGACTTAATAAATTTAGGAATTATATATTAATATTATAATATTATAATTCCTATTTCTAAAAAAAATTAAAAAACTATTTTACTAATTTATATAAATAGTATTTTATAATTATATAATAATATTATATATTTCTAATAAACTAATAAAAAAGAAATATATATATAATTTATTTATTCTAAATAAAAGCTAAGAAACTATTATTTTCTAGTATCTTATATTAAGCTAATAAAACCTAAATAAAAAAAAGAATAAGAAATAAAGTATTTCTAGATATTTCTAGTAATATTATAATAGCTAGTATTATATAGTTAATATAAATATAATTTTAGCTAAAGAAGTTAGTTTTAGCTAAGGTTTCAAGCTATAATTCAAATTAAGCTCGCTTTTAAAGCTCGGTATTTTAGGAGTCTTAGCTATATTTATTTATTTACTATTATACCTTACTTCTATTCCTCTTTATAATAAGTACACGTAATAGTATATAGACAGGTATTAGATATTATAGATCTAGTTTCCTATTTTAGGTAAAGCTTATAATCGGAATTATATAGGCAATCGGAATTATATAAATTATATAGGATCATATTTCCTAGTTAAGTAAAGTGCTTTACAGGCTTAGCTAAATACTAGGAAATATATAGGGAAACGCTCCTAGCTTTAGAAAGGGATATTAATTAGTCTTTTATTAGAATTAATTCTTGGAATTAGTTATACTTATAAGTATTACTTTATAGCTTACTTACCTTAACTACTTATATATTACCCTGCTATTATATACCTTATATTCTAATTAATCTAACCTTTGGGAAGTAGTTTATTACGAGATAGTTAAGCTATTAATAAATAAAATATTAATAGCTAGAGTATTAACTAGGAAAAGTGCCTTTACTATTACTAGAGTAACCTAACCGGGTATTTAGGGAAGTACCTAGTTAAGTACTCTTTATATTACCTAATTAGGAGAAGGAAATAGAACTCAAATACTTCTAGAACTAGTAAGTAGGATAATAATAATAGAGAAATTAGTAGCGGCTTGCTATTATATTACTAAGTTAGAAATAGAGATATAATAGAGAGAAGATCTAGAAAAACTAGAAGCTTAGATCCGTTATCTTAAAGATATTTAGATATCCGGTATAGAACCTATTATATTTCCGGTAGTATTCTTAGTTTAGAGGGCTTTAAAAACCCGAGAACTATCTACTTACTAGGGAAAGAGTATTAAAGAAGCCCAGGACTTCTTTTATTAGGTAAAGTTAAAGTAGTATAAAAATAATAGGATTACCTAGGCTATTAATATAATAAAGATTATATATTATATTTCTTATTTTAAGAATATAGCTAGGAATATCTGAAAATATAAGAAGTAATTAGTAGGTATTAATACTACAAATTAGGAAACCTTTATTAAATTTATAAAGAATTCTATTTTAGATCCAGAGAACTATAGTAATAATATTTTTACTAAGTTTAAGAATACTAAATAATGGCTAGACTAAAGTATCTAAAGCTTTATATCTTACTTAGATAGCCTATTAAATAACTTAAGATATACGGGTTTATTATAAAAGTAAAATAATTTATTTAGTAGTTTAAGATAAGAGATTTGGGACAAGATTAATTATTAAGAAAATACTTTATAAGAAAAAAAGAAGCTTATTTCTATAGCTATAAGAATTAAGAATAATTTAAATCTATTTACTTAATAAGAATATAATAATAAGCTAATAGGATAATAAAAGAAAGAAAATAAGAAAAAAGAAAAAGGAAATAATAAAGGAAAATAAAAGAGAAATATATTTCTATTATAAGGTTTATAAAACCGGAATAATAAAAATATAATAATAAAATCTAATATAATACTTATATTAGGATTTATAAGACCGGATATAATTTGCTTTATTTACTAGAAAAAGAATTACTATATTACTACTTGCCCTAATTAAGGGAAACCGACTTATTATAATTATAATAAGTCTGGCTATAAAATATATAAGTATCTAGAACTAAAGAAGCCAGGAAATAAATATATCCCGTAATAATTATACTTATTTATATTACGGAAAGTAAGGCCTCTAAAACGAGAATAGTAATTAAGGTTACTATTAAGATAATAAAAAGTAAGTAAAGAGTTAGAGTATTAGTAAACTCGGGTATAGAGGCTAATTATATAAAAAGAAAATTAGCTTTAGATATAAGTATTTTATTAATATTAAGGATAATTCCTTTATTCTTACTAGAAAAAAGAAAAATCTTATTTATATAGAGATTATATTCTTGGAATTACTATTAAAAATATACTAGGGAACTAAAAAAAGGCTAATATATACTTTATATTATATAATTTTAATCCGAATTATATTAATATAATACTTGAATTCCTATAGCTTTATTAGATTAATTTCATAATTTCTTTTAGGGAAGTAATATAGAGATATTAGATTTAATTATAGAAAGTTAAAGTTCTAAATACTAAGAAGTTTATTAAAGTAATAAAGTATAAGGTATATATTTTTCTATTAATTACTTATTTTATAATAAATAGCTAAAGAATTATTACTATTATTACTAATGAGATAATTATATTTCTTAAGAAATATTAGTACTTTTTCTAAGTATTCTTTATAAAGGCTATAAGTATATTACCTAAGTACTATATAATAAAGTATTATGTAAATCTAGAACTAGAATTTCAATTATTATATAATTCTATATATGCTTTATTAGAAAGAAAGCTTAAAGTTCTTTGAGAATATCTTAATACTAGCCTAGAGAAAAAATGGATTTATTATTTTACTAGCCTAGCTAGTACCTTAATTATATTTATTCTAAAGAAAGAAAATAGCCTATATCTATATATTAATTACCGGGATCTAAATAAGATTACTATTAAGAACTAAATACTATTACTACTTATTAATAAGATTATAGATAGGCTTTATAAAGTAAAGATATATAAAGCTAGACTTAAAGAATACTTATTATTAGTTATAAATACGAGAAAATAATAAGTAAAAGATAGTATTTCAAATATATTATAAATATTTTAAGTACTATATTATATTTTTTAGATTATCTAATACTTTAGTAATATTTCAGATATATATTAATTATATATTAATAAGTCTTATAAATATTATTTATATAGTTTATCTAGATAATATTTTGATTTATTTAAAAAATCCAAAATAATATATAATAGTAGTCTAATATATACTCGAATAATTATAATAATACTAGCTCTTTATAAACTTAGTAAAATACGAGTTTAATATAGAGAAAATAAAGTTCCTGAAATTTATAATTAGCTCAGATAGTATAAAAATAGAAGCTAGTAAAATTATAATTATTAGGGAATAGCCGGCCCTAAAAAATAATATCTAAGAAATTCAAGTATTTTTGGGTTTTACTAACTTTTACTAAAGGTTTATTTATAAATACTTTAAGATAATAAAAGAATTAACTAATTTATTAAAAACTAGTAAAAACCCATAATATTATTTTAGCTAGATAAATAAGGCAAATAAGGCTTTTAAAAAGCTATAAATTATATTTATAATAGTACTAATTTTTTATTATTTTAATCTAGTCTTAAAAATTTATATAAAAATAAATACTTTAGGATTTATAATTATAGGTAT